TGAAAAATATTACATCTGTTGCTATTTGTTTATTTGTTTTATTTCTAATTTTATTTGCTATGTTTCAGTAAAGAAAAACGAGTAACTTGTAATGCGGCTTTGCTAGGCTGTGAGAGAAAATTACTTCGGTTTGTGATTTTTGAAAATGAGATCTGGACAGGGGCCAGCTAAACCCAGTTGCATGGCAAAATTCAGGTTAAATGACATTTACCTTATTGTTCAAATTTGTACATCTGAATTTTTAAAACACATCAAATTGTGCAACTGGTGCCGCTACAAGTGCAAGAAAATTATATAAGGGAAGGTCTGGGATTTGAGCTTGATTAAACTTGATTAGATTAGATTTATCGGCATATGGGCCAAGGTTCACGAAGAATGATTTAATTACTTTATCACTTGATTTGTGATCTTTTTAAAAATGAGACCCAGGGTGTTACAATACGTAAAGTTGTCAATTTCTATTATATTTTATCATTTTTGTTTGCATTGCAAATTTGTGTAATTTTTTTTAGTCCACCTGGAATTTGCTTATAAGGGTAAAGTGCATGGCAATTGGTCCTTGTTAACATCATCCATCCTATTTAGTATTCAGAGTGGAGACATCGTAATCATCGCCAGCAAAATCGCAAAGCTTTTCTTTCTGACTAGATTTTCTCCTTTTTGCTGACTTTTATCTTGACAATTTGTCTCTAAGAATGTGATTAGTTCATTGATGGATTTAATTGATTTTAGTTATTGATGGACAGAATGAAAATAAAAAAGACATTTTCATTAGGCTACTTTAAATTTAAGTGCCAAATAAAATACCAAAGAACAAACAACAAAGCATAGTATTACTGTAAAGTAGTCAATAAAGTTTAAAAGCAAAACTATTTAGAATTCAGCATACTGTATATTCATTCCTTTCCTGTATCCATTTGTGCTGGAAAGCAAAGCAGTTTAGCTTAGAGGTTAAGATGCTTGCCTTCCTATCCGAAGGTGCTGGGTTGAAGTCTTAATCCATGACATTTTTTTTACAACGAAAAAATGCTTTACACACTTGGTTTATAAACCATAATGGGCCCTACAAGTACTGTACATGAAAAATATATTTAAGTAGCACCATTGTTTATTAATTAACCACCAGTTGATTGAAATTATTCGCTTTATAAAAGTAGTAATATTATTATTATTATTATTATTATTATTATTATTATTAATATCATGAGAGACGTATGTCACTTACCAATTTTCCTTGCGAATAAAATGTTCAAATGCATTAATCAATTTCCAATGATAAACATATCGAATAAACTCTGTTTTCACTGATTTATATAGAATTTTAAAAGAAATAATTAATTGAAATTTCTTATTCTAATTATCTATTAAATAGTCTAATAAATTAAAGTAAATAATTTAAGCAATTAAAAAAAATTGTATTTTTAAGTTTTTAGCTGAAAACTTACTGTTTATCTTTAACTTTAAGTTCAACTTACTTTACAATGCTTTAAATTGCCTGTGTTTACAAATGATTGACATTCAATCTTTACGAAAGTACAACTGCTATCCAGAAAAATGCTTTATTAAAAAATTATCCTTTTCATCATTTTGGATTTCTGCTACAGACCTTACTGTCAATCATGAAAGTAACTTGTATTATTTTCTATTTTATTTATTGTCACTTTGAAAATAAGAGGAAACATCTTGCTTGACTTGTCTGTTTTCATTCTTGTTTTGAATCTGAACACAAGCGTGTGTTGTAAATGGTTGAAAAACAAAAGTTTTCTAGGCCTTGGTAGGTTTTTCAAATTAGCTTGCCTGAAGGGATGGAGGAGGAACTGCTATATAAAATGGAAAACTTGTCTTGGAAACAGTTGACAGATATACTCATCTGCAAATAGTAGACATGATTTTAACTCTTGCATTTTTATAAACAGTCTGGTTAGTGGAATCCCCTTTCAAACCTATGGAAATACCATATAGATGACAACCTCAGAATTAGATTAACCATGCAAGAAGCCTACATGGAGAGATGAAAAACCCAGCAGATAGCATTATGGGATAACAAGTCTCTCAGTCATTAAAATCTTCACAGAATTTATCACAGTTTATTTCCACACTTCCACAGGCAACAAAAATACTATCTAGAAACTAGTAAATTCAGAAGTTATGCATTATTAATTGTCTTCAATAAATTTTCTGAATATGGGTATAATTAGGCCCTATAAAAAAATATTAGTTTCAACCTATCTAAGCTAGAAAAGTGATGAGGGAAGGAGGTTTGTTATTTGTTATTTTGCTGAAGCCAAATATCACCCTTGGGTTGTTTGCTGGTACATTGATATTTAAATATACATGATTGAGATAATACAAACAAACAAT